CGCGCGCGCGAGAGAGAAGTGTATAGATTTTCTTCAGCTCTATTGGGGAGGGGGTTGGGTTTTTTTTTGTGAGAGAGAGAGAGAGAGAGAGAGAGAGAGAGAGGGAGAGAGAGTGTGACAGTATCCTGATGTTTACAAGTATCTATATATATATATTTATAATTATTTTTATATTTATTATATATATATATATATTTTTATATTGATATATATATATATATATATATATATATATATATATATATATATATATATATATATATATATATATATATATATATATATATATATATATATGTGTGTGTGTGTGTGTATATTCATGGGATATAATGAATTTTTTTATTTTTTTAATTCAAATCTTACAAATGGGAAAAAGAGGGAGGTTTTAGCAAGCGCTACCCCTGTGAAATGTCTAATTGCCGGATAAACCCCTATGTAAAGGCAATTGACATGGATCCCCCTATATCCCAAAGTCAGAGCCGCTCGCCCCCCTATCGCCAAAAATCGTGTGATGCACGCGCATTTGGTGCGGCTTGTTGTTATTTTTTTGACATTTATTAACATGAAAAGTCGGATATATCCCTCACCGGTCTTATTTCTACTCTCCCTCTCATCATTTCTCCTCTGTATTCTTCATACTTCTGAAGATAGAAACAGGTCTTCAAATTTTCCCAATTTGGAGATCTTTAAATTTTGGTTCAACACTAGAAAATTTGTCGTCGTTTTACTGATTAAAGGGATTAGGGTCCTTGGATTTTCCCCAATTTCTAAAACTTGGCATTTTGAGAAATTATGTCTTCTCGCACCTTAGCAGCAATATGAGAAGCAAAAATTTCAAGCAACAGATGGATTTGAGGTATCCATTCACGCCACTCTGTTCGTGCAAAGCGAAAGCCACTATAAGGGTTGTTGAAAACCCAACAAAACTAACAACAGGTAAGTTATATTATTCCTGCGAGTTTCGTCGATGCAATTTTTTTCATTGGTGTGTTCCGGATCGAGCAACTTGGGAACCTATTGGGACAGCCGTACAATATCGAATTTGGGAATATGTTGAGCAAGATTTGTCGAATGAAATTGACGAGTTTGGTGAAGTTATTTCAAAACGATCCAGTGTTGCTACAAATAATGAAAATAATCAATATTATCGAATTATGTTGCAAATCGCATTGGTTATATGCGTAGCTTTGTTCGTCATAATTTTGGTTCTGTTAATGAAGATTTGAAGTGGGATGATTGGGGATGTGCATTGTTTATATGCGTAGCTTTGTTCGTCATAATTTTGGTTCTATTAATGAAGATTTGAAGTGGGATAATTGGGATGTTTTCTTAGTTTGTTTTCTTAGTTTGATATGTTTTCTTAGTTTGAGATGTTTTCTTAGTTTGAGATGTTGTACTGTAGTACTGTCCTTCATCGATGTAATATTGACAATGTTGTCATTTGTTCAAACATTATTGGTAATGTATCAATTTAGTATTGACAATGTCATGTTATTTGTGCAATTTATCAATGTCATTTTCATAATGTATTTTTTTTCTTTTTTTTGCAACTTTCTGTATATCTCCCCCTCCTTTGTTTTCAACCACAGATGATCCAACAATCAATCAACCACCAACAATCCAACCACCTACAGTTCAGCAAGTAACAACAATTAAGATCCAACCAATATTCACCAACAGCAATCAAAAGATTCAATACTTAATATGTTCAAAAGAGACAGGCAGCAATATTTATCATGAAAAGGCTGTTACAAAATTTACTCAAATAAAAATTTGAGCATCAAAACATGTTCACTGTTCCAGCATTCTAAAAATAAAAACAACATTAATATGTTCAAAAGAGACAGCCAATATTCATCAAAAAGTTGTTACAAAATGTACTCAAACAACATTTTGAGCATCAAAACATGTTCAAAAATACTGTTCCAACATTTAAATCTTCCACATTCTTTTCTTCTTCGCCTCATTGATATTGTTAATGACTTCGGATATTTGAGGCTTCCTTATTCTTTTACGTGCATTTCCACCTGAAGGAGCAGAGGGTGGTGCAGATGCAAAAAAAAGGTGCTGAAGGAGCACATGGAGGTGCTAATGGAGCTGAGGGGGGAGCTGGTGGTTTTGACCTTGGTTTGTTGAACTTCTTACATTTTCCTAACAATACTTCATTTCTTCTTTCAACATATACCTAAATAATAATCAGTAAGGTAATATTAATGTTGGAAAACAATAATAAAGTGAACATGAGTTGCACTTTATTTAAAAAATTATAAAATGGAAACTAACTGTAACCTTTCCTTTTTGTGGAGGTGCATCAGATGGACCTGCAACAGATGACATTATTCTTGCATTTGGATTTGCAACAGATGGACCTGCCCTTGCACTTGATTGTGCAACAAATGGAGTTGTCCTTGACTGTGCAACAGATCTAGGTGTTGTTTGATGTACAACAGAAGGAGATGCATATGGAGGTGCAGAAGGTGTTGTTTGACTGGAAAATTGAGGAGCATTTTGAGAATTTTGCACTTCCTCACTTCTAGGATTTTCCTGTCACAAACAAACAGACAGTCACAAACAAACAGACACACCCATTAAAAGCTTGTTGTAAGAATTATAAGCATATAATATCACAATAACTACATTTACCTTGTACAACTTGGACTTTGGATTTGTTGGATTTTTACATGATCCCCGATTATGACCTCGTTCTAGGCAATTTTGATAAGTATGTGTTAGAACTTTTCTGTAAGAAGTCCTATAAACCTCATCTGGTGCTTTCCTTCTCAATTTTGTTGGTCTCCCAGCCTTCCTTTTGTACTTTGGAGCACCAAGTGGCTCATAAGAAGTTTTGATATAATCTTTGGGTCCATGTACATCATGTATCATGTAGTTATACACCTTCAAATATGTTTCCTTCTTGTAACAAGAGTCCACATAATCTTCAACCCTATACCTTCTTTCAGCAATGCATGCCCATGCATGATGGCATGGATAACCATTCAGCTAAAACATATCACATGTACATGTTTTCTTGCCCAAGTCAACAACATATCTATCTGGAAATAAATCAAATTCAAACTCATCCCTTCCACAAAACCTTGGAAAACAGTTTCTGGATAATTTTTGGCTCTTGTTGATTTTTTTTTAAATATTAGGACAAATTTGTCCTTCTATTTCTCCATTCCAGCTCTCTTTATCTGAATTCTAGTGGTCAATCTGGTCCTGATCCACTCAAACATGCTCATGATGGGCTTATCACTGGCTTCAAGTATGTAGTTGTTGAAGGACTCACACAAATTGTTTACCAACGCATCAGTATTGCAATTTGTTGAGAAATGGCTTCTAGCTCAATGACAAGGGGGTATATTTCTCAAGTACTCTGCTGCAGATATCTCAAGTTTCGGTATTTGAAGCATATATGACTCAAACTCATTTTTATGCCCAGTTGAAGCAGCCTTCCACAACATGGTTTTCAAGTCCAATGAAGACCACCTTTACTTGAAGTTCTGATAGATGTGCCTCACACAAAATCTGTGAGCACAACCAGGGGCAAGATCTTTTATAGTCTCTAGCAATCATGTTTGCCTATCAAATTTCATCAAGATGGTTCACATGTACTTGCAATTTCTTCATCATAAATTACTCCTTCACTTGCAATTTCACCTTCAAAAGTTGCCCTTTCACTTGCAAGCTCCTCTTCAAAAGCTGCATTTTCCCTTGCAATTTCCTCTTCAATTTCCTCATCATATTCTGGTTCATTTGTCCTTGCATTTTCTTCATTTTCATCACCAGCCCTGCCATTTTGTTGAACATCATCCCCATCCCATGCATTTTTTTCAAATTTATCCCTAACCCTTGCATTTTCTTCTAGTGCATCTCTAGTCCTTGCATTTTCTTCTAGTGCAACCCCAGTCCTTGCATTTTCTTGTTCACCACTAGCCACTGCATTTCGTCGCTCATCATTAGCCACTGCATTTCCTTGCTCATTACTAGCCACTGCATTTCTTTTCTTATCACTAACCACTGTAGTTTTCAGTACCTCATCAGCTTCAATTCCATCTTCACCATACCCCAGCTGTAGTACTTTTGTATAAATAATACTCCCATTTTTATCAACTCCAAGCAATGGCTCTATTCCAGATTCTTCAGTATACAAAGTCAGAAAATTCAACCCTTCATGTACATTTACCATAAAGGGAATACCAGTGTCATCAACAATACGTTTCAAGCCCATTTCCAGTGTTTGCTCAGGGTACAAGAAGTAGAATTTTGGGTTCAGCACTTTACCTCCACACTAATGGTAAATTTGGAACAGTAGGTCCATGATCATGTAGTCTAAGGACACCCTGTCAACCTCACTCTTTCTTCCTCCACCATATTTTCGTTTTGGCTCATGCACAAATTTTCCATCTAACGAAATAGTAAATTTGCAGAGGGTGTCCATCTGTATAAAAAAAAATGAGATATATTAAACAAATTCTCAAAATTTCAACAACAAAAAATATATTAAAAAAATGCTCAAATTCATCAACAACCAGAAATCCTAAAGAAGTCCTATACCCCACATGTTCCCTCAATCTACAGACAAAATGTTCTTTATAAAACAATAAAA